GTCAATATAAATATGTAGAAGGTACCTTATAGCTTGGAAATAAACACGTCAATATAACTACGTAGATGGTATTATTTCCAAGCTATAAGGTACACACGTCAATATAACTTTGTAGATGCTATTATTTCCAAGCTATGAGGTACACAAGTCAATATAACTATGTAGACCTTCGTTGCTTCAGAAACTTACCCCTTCAAGTTCCCCGAGACACGATAAAACGGTGAGAACAACCCCCATTAAAAAAATACAGCCAACCACGATCAACCTGCTTAATTTGTTCATTATATGGGTCCACACGTGGGTGTCACTGAAACTGAAATATTACAAAAATTGTCAGAAATTTGCAAATGTTATGTTCAATGCACAAAATGTGGGCATAAACATGATCATACAGCAATGATGGACTTTAACTTGTACATACAGCTATGATGGACTTGCACATTTACATAGAGCTATGATGGACTTTCAGATACAGACATGTACATACAACCATGATGGACTTTCACATGTACATACAACCATGGTGGACTTTCACATATACATACAGACATGATGAACTTTCACATATAGACATGTACATACAACAATGGTGGACTTCCACATTTACATACAGCCATGATGAGCTTTCACATGTGCAGACAGCTATGATGGACTTTCACGTGTACATACAGCCATGATCAACTTTCACGTGTACATACAACCATGGTGGACTTTCACATATACATACAGACATGATGAACTTTCACATAGAGACATATACATACAGCCATGATGGACTTTCACTAGTACATACAGCCATGATGAGCTTTCACATGTGCATACAGCTATGATGGACTTTCACGTGTACATACTGCCATGATGGACTTTCAGATATATACATGTACATACAACCACGATGGACTTTTAGATATAGACATGTACATAAATCTATAATGGACTTTCACATTTACATACAGCCATGATGGATTTTCAGATAAAGACATGTATATACAGCCATGATGGACTTTCACATGTACATACAGCCATAATGGACTTTCACATATAGGTATATAGACCCCTTCGAAGTTTCATAACTTATTTAAAGTAAGTGTTATTATATAAACATTGTAGTTCTAGACCCCTACCAAGTTCCTTAACTTATATAAAGTAAGTGTTATTACATAAACATTGTAGTTCTAGACCCCTACCAAGTTCCTTAACTTATATAAAGCAAGTGTTATTACATAAACATTGTAGTTCTGGACCACTACCAAGTTCCTTAACTTATATAAAGTAAGTGTTATTACATAAACATTGTAGTTCTAGACCCCTACCAAGTTCCTTGACTTATATAAAGTAAGTGTTATTACATAAACATTGTAGTTCTCGACCCCTACCAAGTTCCTTAACTTATATAAAGTAAGTGTTATTACATAAACACTGTAGTTCTAGACCCCTACCAAGTTCCTTAACTTATATAAAGCAAGTGTTATTACATAAACATTGTAGTTCTAGACCCCTACCAAGTTCCTTAACTTATGTAAAGCAAGTGTTATCACATAAACATTGTAGTTCTAGACCCCTACCAAGTTCCTTAACTTATGTAAAGTAAGTGTTATTACATAAACATTGTAGTTCTAGACCCCTACCAAGTTCCTTAACTTATATAAAGTAAGTATTATTACATAAACGTTGTAGTTCTAGACCCCTACCAAGTTCCTTAACTTATATAAAGTAAGTATTATTACATAAACGTTGTAGTTCTAGACCCCTACCAAGTTTCTTAACTTATATAAAGTCAGAGGATAGTGAATGTAATATACAGGTTTGAGGAAAGTCTAGTGAAATATAAAAATCTTGGTGGTGCCTTGCATGAGCTGTTTCCTGTATTACAAAGTTCTCTTTCATATAAAACTAATCATCTTAGTACGACACAACCACATTTTTTATCGATATTAATTGATATCCAAAGTTTGGTAATACAAACAAATACACAACTGTTTACCCATGTTTCACTATTTATCGATGTTAATAGCTAGGTAAGTAAAGTGTGTGAATCACTGTGAATTATAGCGTGTGTTTATAAAGGTTGTTAAGTTTAAAGTGACTGTGGAAATTATGTGTATTACTAAAAGTTGTATCAAGAAAGAATAAACTAGTTTTATTTAAGAAATTATACGGGAAACTAACAAACGAACACAGAGACGTAACACTATTTAGGAGGTTGTTACAGAAACAACCACATATTTATTTACCAAAGTTTCTTAATGTTTCACTGTTTATCGATGTTAATATCTGTCTAGGAAGTTGTTACAGACACAACCACAGAACTGTTTACCCATGTTTCTTAAGGTCTCACTGTTCCATATTGTTACGCCTCCAGTCATTAGTTAATTTTCCATAAATTCTTTCCGACTAAACTTTAGCGATACAACTCCTTTCTTAAATAAAACTGGTCTATTCTTTCCGAATACAACTTTACGATACACTTAATTTCAACAGTCGCTCTATAACAAACACTGTAACTCACATCTCACGTGGCCAACAATATTCTGTCCGCATACATTCAATTACTCATTACCTCCCCGTCGCTTCGTGGTCGGTCTTATATATACAATACTACACTATATGTAGAAGGATCACGAGATTTAAGAAAAAGACGTGAATGTTCGAGAATGACGTGGCGTGATACTAGTCACGTGACCTCGATGTCGTAACAATATGAAAAATACTTGGTTGTTTATATCATCCAAATTCGGCGCTTATTACTAGAAAATTAGACATCTTTTTTATATCTTAATGAATAATGGCCTTTACTGTATTAAATGTGTTTATTTATATTGCGTTATTCCAATATCAAGAATAATACAATTGTTTATATAGATTCACAACTGTTGGAGGTTAGCATTTAACAACAATACTCTTGATTGTTTATGTTTTTAACTGTTGGAGGTTAGCATTTAACAACAATACTCTTGATTGTTTATGTTTGTAACTGTTGGAGATTAGCATTTAACAACAATACTCTTGATTGTTTATGTTTGTAACTGTTGGAGGTTAGCAATTAACAACAATACTCTTGATTGTTTATGTTTGTAACTGTTGGAGGTTAGCATTTAACAACAATACTCTTGATTGTTTATGTTTCTAACTGTTGGAGGTTAGCATTTAACAACAATACTCTGGATTGTTTATGTTTGTAACTGTTGGAGGTTAATAGACAAAAAGCAATACACAGTTTCATGTTTATAACCGTCAAATGTTAATACTTATAAACAATACTCCTGTATTTGTGTTGTTAACTATTCGAGGTTAATACTTGATAACAATATCCCTGATTGTTTATGTTTGTAATTGTTGTGATCACTACACAATTAACAGTATATTTTCGTGTTTGTATAGTATTGTTGTTTGTATAACTCAATTCTAATGGTACTTCAAAGGCTATTTTATTCAAATAGCTATTTCAGTTCTTTTCCGTTTTCAGTTCCCGCTAATATATCTTTCGGTTAGTAACTTACCTCAATGTATTCAGCTTTTCCTGATCTTCGTGGAATTCAACACGTGACTTCAACTAGTGAAAAAACGACCGTTAGTTAGGATACCAACATTCGAACACGATGTCATACATCCGTTGCTTTTTGTTGTTGTTTTATAACGAATGTCTTTTTCTGGCGATAAAAAATTGTCTTCCGTTCCAATTACAATCTTCCATTATCGTTTATCTTTCATTTCAGCCACTTTGCTCAGGAAGATTATTTGATAACTAACATCCATCTTCAACGTCGCCTCTCAAACAAATCACTTTTATACATCACAACAACAAATACTTTGAATCTACTTCTTTTCGTGTAGGTATACGTTGTTGCTTCAGCGTACTCAACAGTTATACATTATCTAACCGCCAGTTGTCGCAGTGGTTTATTTTTTAGTTCAGCTCAATTAATATATAGTTACTTTCGTTGTCCCACTGTTTACAAACTCGCCAATAATACTGTTACGTCTCTGGTCGTTTGTTAATTTCCGGTATAAGTTCTTCCTGAGGAACTTCAGCGATACAGATCCTTTCTTAAATAAAACTAGTTTATTCTTTCTCAATACAATTTTGCAATACACAGAATTTCCACAGTCACTTTAACTTCAACACACGCTATAATTCACAACGATTCACGCACTATACTTACGGTCACTACCGCTCGCTTGACTCAATTATCTGTCTCTATTTCTCTCCCCTATCTGCAATTATATCTCCGCTTTATTTACCGGGCTTATATACTAAAATAGAGAGCGCCTAGAAAAGACTAGAGTTGCCAGGAACAGTCATGATCCTTCTAGAAACTCCAGCGAGCATGCTTCCAGGGTCACGTGACTTCCGCTGTCGTAACAATACAAATAGGTTTGAATATTATTAAAAGTTACCTTAAAGAGTCACACGATGTAAGTTGGCTAAAATAAGTGTCATGTTAATAATATCATATTAATATTACAATAGTTATTTGGTATTTCGTGTGTAAAGTCAGATATTGGTGATCTAGTATCGACTTGAAATAGACACAGTTTTCACATATAAAACAAGCATTTATTGTTTTAAAATCGATACATACTTGACACTAGCCCTAAAACCATGTGCTTAAAGCTTAATGGCGTTTTCAACTCTCTTTGGTTTAAACGTAACAAATAAGGTAAAGTGTACTTATTTATATAAAATAGGGAAAAAAAACAGCATTAAGCTGATAACATACAGAGAAGCTAGATAATAATAATAAGGAAATATTGCAGCAAAATGAAAACCGAATTTTATTCATAGTAAAAAAATCAAAAACTTGCAGGCCGTTCTTAAAGCGAAGAAAGGATTATCATATTAATCTACTAGTACATGTTCTGAACAGAGATCCTGGATAATCCCTACCACAGTAATATCCAAAACAACACGATGCACCACTGTACACTCGGCACTGGTTAAAAAAAAGAGAAAACATTTAAAGATATTATAGTTGACATTCCAGAACCAATTAAAAAAATCAAATTCTTTTTATTAAACACTAGTGAGTTCACACCACACTTGTATGAAAAATTCCTCACAACGTCTTTGGCCATTATTAAAAGTTTGTTAAATTTTGCACAAACTTACTCGAGAGTTATCAGCGCTAACTGTCTGTAATTTTGAAGTGGTTAATTAGAAAAAAGGCAGCGATTCAACCCCACCCATCGTCAACTCCCGGCTACTCTTTATTAACAAATATTGAAATTGACTGTCACTTCATAACGCCCCCACAGTTGAAAGGGCAAGTATATTCGATGAGAGGGTTCGATCCTAAGTCCAGTAGATTGCGAGTCGACCATCCTAACTACCAGGATGTGTTAGGCCTTCACTACAAATTCGTGTCTGAGCAACATCGGTTCATAATATCACAGTTTTGTTTTCGTAATAGATGGACGCACTACAGATTGTGATATTCAAATACTATAGTGTTAAGTAATCTTTACCCTAATTTTGACACGTTCTGACATATATAAAATTAATCGTCGGCATTTAACGTAGCAGATATGGTATAGTTCACGCATTCATATTCAATTTTATTCAAATTCACTAAGAAATTCTTATAAACAAAAACCAAGTATCCGTATGTGAATTTAAACATAAGGACCACACTGTTGAACAACCAGATAGTGTGACGGGCAACAGTCTTTATACCATGTAGAGGATGTGTTAGGATGTAGTTTGTACGCACAGAATTTGTTAGGATGTAGTTTGTACGTAGAGAACATGTTAGGATGTAGTTTGTACGTACAGAATATGTTAAGATGTAGTTTGTACGTAGAGAACATGTTAGGATGTAGTTTGTACGTAGAGAATACGTTAGGGTGTAGTTTGTACGTAGAGAATATGTTAGGATGTAGTTTGTACGTAGACAATATGTTAAGATGTAGTTTGTACGTACAGAATATGTTAAGATGTAGTTTGTACGTACAGAATATG